AGCACCTCCCACGGGGAAACACCGCAGGTCCGTGGAGTTGGAGCTCAAACATTAGTTTGACTTTCCAAAAGGCAGCGTACTCCCGCTGACTTGCTTTGCAGCGAAACTCATATTTAATCATCAGGATTTTTGCCTAAAAATTGCAGGATTAGAGCCATAGTTTAAAAGCAAAATTTCAACCCGGTAATAACTGTGAATTCATTTGACCCCCGAGGCTTTCAAACATTGCCCTCGAGGGAGTAAATGAATGTTGCTTGCGGTGTAGTTCTCACACATACAATAAAACCCTGAACCACACGATGCCTGTGAATGCTAACCCGGAATTTGAAAGATAATGAAAGTTGTACAGAAACATTGTTCATTACCTGAAAGACGGGAAGGACCGATATTCATCAGTCTTGTAACCTTATTAAAGTAGCGCAGGAGCTGGGATTCTTTCCCAGGGGCTTTTATAAAATAATTATTTACACCACTGAGTTTTGATAGCGTAGAAAGCAGGCATTTACTGTGTAAACTGAGAAGTTTTCAGAAACTAATTAACTGTGCTTTTCACCAGACACAGAAAACTCCTTGTGGGAGAATCTTTTGTTAGGTCTCAGCTGAAAGGCCAAGCCAGTCCTGTTCAAAGCAAGCACAGCAGTTTTGGGGACAGATGAGACAGGCTGGGGTAACTAGAAAGCAGCACAAAGGTTTACCTGCTCAGCCTATGAAGAGGTGCTCTGGCTGCTTATGTCTTGGTCAGATGGAATTAGGGCACCATTAATGAACAATCAACTGGCTTTTTACTTACTGCTAAGTGTTGATGTCTGCAAGTTCAATAGAGACATTAAGCCCACCACCATGGTGTTAGCTGTGCTGTTCCTTACAGCACGGAAAGGGCTGGTCCAGATCTCTTCAGCTGCTCAGTATCTTTTGCAAGGTGCTTGTTTTCCCAGGTGTAAGCGAGAAAAGTTGGAGTTAAAGCTACTGAACTGGTTTGCGAGTGCCTGCTTGTTATTCTCAGCGTATTATAACCCCATTTATTTAACTTGCCCTTTTTCACAACAAAGCTAGCGCTTCCTGCTTCAGGTGGGAGTTCCTTGGTAAAGTTAGGTGGTGGCTTTGACCGTTAAATCAGATACTGAAGAGATATGCCTTTGACTGCTGACCATGATACGATATCGAGCCTGTTAGTTGGTGAGCAGCAGATAGGTTTATCTCTAGCCATGCAAATAAATCCGTTCCCAGTGCTCGTGCTGACGTGCACAGTACTGTTCTGCTTTCTATACCCAGGGAGTGTATAGATTTGCCTTTTCTGACTTTGATGCAGACAGTGACCCTTCACTTGCTTTACTACACTTGCTGTGTGTCCTCAGTGCAGCTAAGAATTGTATTTAATGATTTCTGGTGTTTATTTTTAAACCTCCACCAGCAGTTACTGTGTACATAACACCAGTGAAGCAGGCCAGCAGCCACCCTGAACGCTGTATCAGTAAGAAGTTAATGGTGTCGCTGGAGCAGCTTAGCGACTGGGTTTGGACTTTTATCCTCTCCATGGAAATGTCTGCACGCTGACTTCAGAATAATAGTCTAACCATTTCTAGCAGTTAGTCCGTAAGATACGTTCTCTTATTTTAGAAACTATAAAAGTCCTAACTCTTTACAGATTGCTGAAGTTCATGAAAGGCCAGAGTTTTTGCCTTACGCAGAATATATACGTGTGTCCTTGTGAGTAGTCACAGAGAAAAACATTTCGATAGAACATTGGCAGCATATCGTGCCTCCAGCTCCAAGTCTGTCTGAATTTATGAAAAACAATTATGCAAGCATATTTCCATAATAAAAGAAACTGCATGTTGATGGGCTGAGCTGGCATAGTAGTAATGTACGTTAAAAAAAAACCCCTCAGTTTGGATCTTACTATCCAGTTTTCTGATCAAAATATTGTTTAAAATACAGACTTTTAGCTCTTGATGTCTTTGTCACAATTTCATTCACATACATGTGTATATATATCTCTCTCAAAAATTTAACTTATCTGTCTTAGTTGAATCATTCAAGATTCTTATAAGCTATCTCATCCAGTATCAGTGTTCACTGGTCCAAGTATTTGAAGCAAACATTGATTTCATAGGGTCAGAAAAATGTGGCTAGAGCAAGAAATCCCATGAAAATTCATACAAGAATTTGTATGTTCGTATTTTTTTACCAAAAAAAACGTTGATATTACTTAAAACTTCTTGCCTTAGAACTTGTTTTTCACATTAGGTTGAACAGAGGTATTCTTTCTGGCAAGACTTAAGTGTGCTGCTATAAATTAAAACCTTTAACTTTTGAGAGCACAGTGTTTAAGCTAAGATGAGACATTTTGTGGTGTCACCTACTTGTCAGTCTGTTAAAAACACATTTACTACTTGCTCAGAAAGAATCTGCTTGATATACGAGTATCACACACAGCAGTTACAGTCTTCAGCTGGAAGCAATGTATTTTGACATGAGAAGTTAGAATATTCTCCTTTATATAAAGATATTCAGAAGCTGGATTTGTAAACAAGCTGTTCCCTGAAAGCTGATTGCTAATATTTCATGACCAATTCATTTATGGGTAAGGTGTTTCAATTGTCTCGAGAAAAGTGTAGGAAATGCGTAACAAAGCACCTGCATCATTCATCTTACACCTTCTGAAATAACAATGTTTGGCTCTTGTGGGGTGGAAAAATCTGTTAAAAGGATAGAACCAGGGAAATTTGATGCGTAGGAGAAATGAATGAAGAATATAAAACCTCATGCTTTGATTCCTCCTCATGGAGGCTAGCTAAAAAAAAAAAAATCTTTACGTTTTCACTACAATTAAGAAAGAAAAACATAGTCATTTTCATTACAAAAAGTAGAGAGCTTGTGTCAAAGAGTTTGAGGCTATGGAGACTTTGAGGCTTCCCTCAGCTTTTTTCAGAAGGCATGAATAAAAATGTTGTGCTGTCTTTCCAAAATAGCCAGTGCTACTATTGCTTTTTATTTCTTTTTCCTTTGAGACTGGGGGGAGGGCTTTTTTTTTTTTCTTCTTTCTTGGCTTGATAACAGAAGGCTGTTCTCTGGGAAGCTGCTGCTCGGTACGTGCAGCTGATGAACCATGCCTCCAGCACTGTGCCAGCGGGCTCTCCTGGTGAGGAGGGCGATGCTAGGTCTGTAAGCTCGCTCAGTCTACAGTTATACGGACCTGTGTTTCCAGAAGAGTACGGCTGCACTGGTGGGGTGATAAAGTGGTTTTTGTGCAGGGGTTTGAGGTATTTTTACCATGTTTTATTAAAAGAGAATCCTCACCCAACTGCCATGGAGGTGTTGCACCCAGAGGTGACTACAGATCATACATGCAGTCATTCTCTCAGGGCACGAAATGATTGATCTGCAATGTAGTTTTTAATTGACAAGTTGGACTTCTATTATGATTTTCCCTTATGCTTTTGAGTCAGCATAACTTTGCAAATTGAATTTTTTTTTTTTTACTTATTTGTAGTTGAATTATTGTAGTTTCAAATTACAAGAAGGAACGGTATGACTGAAAAAAGCCATCAGAGTTTTATTAGAGGATCTCCCTAACAAAAACTTCAGAAAAATAATTGCCTACAAAGCAATCTATAGGGTAAAATCTTTGTTCCACTTAGTTCCACTTCCCTTTTGGTAATGGCCTCAGCAACAGGTACCTCCAACACAGTGCAAGGCATCCTTTGCTGGATGCTCAGACAATGACGAGCCGGTTCACTGCAGGGGGACATCTCTCTGTATTCCTCATCTGTTAGAGATTAGTTTATGCCATGAATCTGTATTTTTTTGATGGTGGTGTTGATGATCATTTCTGACCCTTTACTTTTCACCTGTAGCTCTGAAATTTCCTTTTTACAAGAAGTTGATTGTGAAGATGCAAGCAAAAAGCAAATGCTTAGAGGATACTGTTTTTCTTGGAATTCAGAGTAACTGATGTTTCTTTTATAGGTTACAAATATTCAAGCAAGAACAGTTTTACTCTCCTGGTCACCTCCCACTGGCCTTCTAAACGCAGATAGACACAACAATGGTTTGCCTTACACCTGTACCTACGAGGTTGCCTTATCGGATAAAGGGAGGGATGGAAAATACAAGATAATTTACAGGTAACAGCATTATTTTTACACTTACACTTTCACTAAGAATAAGTTCTCAGAGCTTGTCAGAGTGTATTTTGGCATACCTATCAGTCGCAGAAAAAAGGCACATTTGAACACCCTGTAATTGCTCCCTCGCTGTCCCCCTTGCTGGAGGAGCTTGCAGGGAGCTGGTTGAGTGCATGTCACAAGGTCCCTAATTGCCTTCCCATCCCACCTCCCCGGCACGTGGCAGATCTTGCATGTGATGCTGTCTTTCCCATTGCCAATGAAAAGGTTACTTTTTCTCTTCTGCTAAATGTCAAAACCTTTTGTGTACACCGTGCAGGCAGGATAGCTGCCTTCCTAATGGGCTAAATTTGTGTGGACTTGCAAAATTAAGAACAGTAAAGCATGCTTTTTGAGCTAACGAGCAAATGTTTGAGGGCTTTACTGCTTTGTGGCGTCTTAGATGAGCAGAGGAGGGAGCACGCCTGTAATAGGCTATATAGGCTCCCTAAAAACTTGAATATTTGGCTGTCAGCAGTCTGCAGTAAAAATTCTGAGGGATTTCTCAGTCTCTCCTTCCAGTGATCCTCTGAGCTCATTCTGTGATCAAGTACATACAGTGTTATGCCTTTCTTTTTCCCCACTAATGACGTCTGGGAAAGAAAATTTTGAGATGTGACCTTGGCTATTGTGAAATAGCTAATCCTTCCCAAATCTCATTAAATAAAGTCCAGGTGATACAGCATTTATGGAATTACCTTTTGAGACCAAACCATCTCCTTTCTTAAGATGTCCTGTGAACTAGGGTATTCCTCTTGGTATGCTACAGGCAGGTCTGCGTGGACTATCTTGGGTAATATAAGACCACCATATTAACCAGGGAAATGCTACCTGATTTTTTTTTTTTTTCCTGTTTTTTACACTAGCTGTTTGTGAGCCAGTGTGAGCATTTGTATAGCTTAATATGTGCTGCTGAGCTCTTAAAATGGGAAGGACGCTTTCTAGTACTTCTTGTGCTTGCTGGTGTGATGGCTGCACATTTTCTCCTGGTTATGAGATGTTGTGCATCTGTTTTAAAGCTGCTACTTTAAAGCTGTCTCATGCTGCTGGCCAGAGTACAGCCATTAGCATAATGTGATATGCTCCATCACGAGCAGCAGTAATCATTATTACTATAGGCAAAAGAAAGTCTGCAATATGTTGAATGCATTGTCTTTGCAAGGAGGTGCACTCAGAGGGGAAAAAAGCTGAATTTGCAGAGCATTCGATTATATGAAAAAAAGAAGTTTTTTTGGTGGATTTCTGGCAACCCAGCAGGCACGTGCTTTCTGACTGATTTTGTTCTCTTGACTTTGAGACATCTCCCTGTATTTGTCCAGCTAGGTATGAAATATTTCTTTCTGTTAAATTGAGAATTTTCTTGTTTCCCATATTTTAATAAAATCATGAATAAGCAGGCACTTACATGAGATGGCTATTACTTATTAAGCATTGACCTGTACTTTAATATTCACAGAATTGGCAACACAGGACTGAGCTTAGTGTTCATTTACCAGCAAACAAGCCAAAAGGAAAAAGAATAGCCCTAGCTATGTTGGCTACATTTGAAATTAATATATTATATGCTATTTTTTTCCTAAAATGTCTGAAACTATGTGCTTTTACTTTTCTTGGTATTGAAAGAGACCTGGGTCCAGCTGTTGGGCATTGATTAAACATCTCCTTGCCATGGTCCTCACAGAGAGTGTGATTCTGGAAGAGAAAGCAAATAAGTGAAACAGTGGTGCAAGAAACTATACTTTTCCCAAAGTATTTTGAGATAGTGAATGTGCAGAAAGTACAAAAGTAATATATCGATTCTGCTCTTTTCAACTCTGGGAGGGTTGAAAAACATAATGAGCTTTATGCAAATATCAACAAAATGTAAGGATAGCATTCAAATAAACCCATATAGCCAATTTACTGTATAAATTGAGATAATAACTACTTTTCTTCTGTGTATACAGAGCTTTATAAAGTTTTCAAGAAACATGAACTGTGTCAACAAATTGTTGGTATATTGTTTACTACCATTTTCTGTGGCGGGACTTTTTTTTTCCTGCTTTCAAATGATACTATAAGGGAGTTGCTAGTCACTGGAAAATCAGTAGCTGTGCTAAGTGTGATACTGCTTTTCATAATTTATTGATTTGTTGGGTTTGGGCTTTTTTTTCTGCAGTGGAGAAGAATTAGAATATAACCTGAAAGACCTTAGGCCAGCAACAGATTATCATGTCAGGTGAGTTAGTGTGACTATGAATGTCACTTAAATATAAACTCTTCAATTGTATGAGAATAAATGTGAAAGTTTTTTATCTAACTATACCATTCAAGAATTTCATCGTCACCTCTGTAGGTCTTTTTTCAGTGGCTTCTAAATATCTTCTGATAGATTTTATCTTGGACTTTAAGTCACGAGAGTGCTTTTTAAACAATACATTTTCTTGTCATACATATTGTTGTCATTGCTATAGTAAAAGGAAAAAAAGACATCTATATATCTATATTTCTGTCTGTATGAATAACAGGCCTGGAAGTGCTTGTGTATGAAAGTGGGATACTTCAAGCTTCTTAAAAATTTGACTCGAACAACTGGCGTTTCTTCAGTTATTGTAACATCATTGTGCTAGCACTGAAAGTACTCCAGCATAGTTTCTTCATAAATACTCCTTGCTTTGTGAAGTAAATCTGCTGATTACAGATCCATCTGACCATAGTAATTTCAGCATTTATTTTTAAAAAAACAGATCCACACTGGCCTGTCTTGATATTTTCAGAGCATATTTCTGTTTGATTCTAAAAATATGTTTTACACATTTATTAACTATTAACACATTCTCAGTTTTGCTCCCTGATGTTTTTAACACTGTCTGTTATCTACTCATGTTGCCTTTTTTTTTTTAAAGATTTTGCTTATGAACCAAGACTTCAAATTCACATCCTGTTCACTTGTGCTCAATATAATTTTAAAAAAAAATCCTTTCACTCCTGTGTATTGTTTCCTTCTGTTTTTCCAGACAAGGGCTAGGTTTGGCATGCTTTTTCACATCAAGGCTGCTGTTTGTAAAACTTGAAAGAACGAACACTTTGCTTTTGAGCTCTAAAAAAGACCCAGCGCCAAAATGTGTCTGTCTTGCTCTGATACTATAGCTTCTTTTTTTTTTTTTAAGGATACTTTCTAGTGGAGCCCTAAAATGAACTTTTCAAGTAGAAGCACAAGACCAAAAGTAACTTCTTGTAAATACGTAAAAGATGCAGGCTCGCAGGTCAGGCAGTAGTCCCAGCCCTAGTAGCAAGGAGGAGAAAGCTGTAAAACACTGCTGAGCTTCCTGCTGTAAGCATTTGAGCATCACTTTTAAAGCCAACTTCAAACAGCCCAGTGGTCACCATGCACAGCGTGGGTTTGAGGTCTCGTGTGATTTTTAGGGACCTTGTGAGTATTTACCCCGTGTCCTGGCTGACTCTTTTCTCACTACCTACAGCTCCCTCAACCTTCCTGCAGGTTTACCAAATTATAAATCGTTTAGGAACAGTTAGCAATAACTTCTCTTTAAAAAGAAGTGACGGCTAAATATAAAAGTCAGACTTAAAAAGCAGCAGCACGTGTTTGTGGTGGAGGGAACGGACATTGAAAAGGCTGGCTGTTTGCTTTCCATGACAATTTTTTTCTTCACTGAAAGTGCATTGTGTATTAACAACTGTGAAGAAATAAATCTGTTAAGAAATTTTGGGGGCCAATAGTCAGTCAGCAGATCACCTCGGGTCTCCTTAACCTTGGCAGCATCTCTCAGGACTTGATCTCCACATAGACAAGCTGCGTGCACTTGCTCCTGCCCTGCTGGGCCCTGAGCACCCAGGACAACCTGGTTCACTCTGAACCTACTGCCTGCATTTCTTCGAGTAGTAGTATTTTGGTACCTTCAGAGATGCCTGTGCTCAGTGTTTCAATGACTTGCAGAAGATGCTCGTTAAGCTCATTTTCGCATGGTTGTATTCCCCGATGGTATGTGTTTGATGCTCAGCTCTGCTGATTTCCGGCACACATACATACCACTTGCCGGATGCAGACTCAATTAATTAATTGCATTTGTTTTCACTCCTGACTGCTAACAGGTGATGGGTACTGCAGCACTATAGCAGTTCTTATGAACCTTTTCCGAAAGGTTTGATTCGATGTAGGTGGCCATTGTACATAAACTACTCTTATCTACTGAAAACAAATTTAGAAATTGCCCTTTCTTAAACTCCTCATTCAAGTACACAATAGCTACAGCCAGCTCAGAGGTCATCGTCTGGTCATGGTTTGAACATTTTTTTGAGTAGAAGACTTCCAATTTGCACTTCCCTTTGGCTGCATGGAAAATATGAAGGGGAAAAAATAACATCGTTAATTTTTCGGAAAAAAAACGCCTCGTGAGGAAGTGCTCAACTATATTGTATGTGCTTTCCCACATTATTTGGTATTGTATATCCCCCTCTGTGCTGATATATAAAGGATTTGCCAGTTATCAAATTTGCTTTGAAGATTTTTAATTTATTAGAGCAATGTTCCTGAGCTGTGTTAGTTCTAATTCATGGAGGCCCACTAAGTATTGACAACTGAGCTATGTAAGAGAAGCTTGTACCCATGGAAGGAGACCAGCAGGTACCACCACACAACATGGTACATGTGAATCAAGTGTAAACCAGGCATTAAAGTTCACATCTTTTTCTCATGACTTCATACTTTGTTGTATTGCGAAGAGGATTTTAGCACAGTGTGTGCAAGTCTGGCGATAGGCAAGGAAATAGCGGTGGAAAGAACAGATGAGGATGATAACTCAGTGGTCTATGGGAGTATTTGCACAAAACACTGTAATATTACTCTTCTGCTGTGAAGTTCTTTGCATTCTTGTATCAAGTGAAGTAGAATATGATAGCCACTGGTCTGTGAGATATCTGTCATTAGTGGACGGTATCATGGATGCTTTGGTAGTCAAATACTGTGGCTGAGGCAGTGCCGTCTCATCTTTTAACAGTCAGCAAATTTATAACCCTTTTGAATATTGTTTGCAGGGTATATGCAATGTACAACTCAGTAAAGGGATCCTGCTCAGAGCCAGTGAGCTTCACCACTCACAGCTCAGCACCAGAGTGTCCCTTCCCACCCAAACCCTCGCACAGGACCAAAAGCTCCTTAACCTTACAATGGAAGGTAGGTAATGCTTGGATTGGGCAAGAAAGCAGTGAAAAATACAGTTTACTGACAGTGAGCATAACTGTTGAAAATAGTTGAAAGCTGAGACAGTCATTTTTCAGTAAGGGACTTGAACCGGCTGTACTCTGACAAATCCCTCCCCGTGCACTGACTTGACTTTTAAAATGTATGTGTTTCATTATGTCCAACTTCTTCTCGGTATTCGTTAAGAGGTTGCCAAGCTATGTGCAAACCCCAAGCTTTGGTTTCACTTTAAACTGTAGTCATTTGCCTGGGGGGAAGTAGTTTTCTCTTATTCCCAAAATCACTTTTTGTTTATTTTTGCTCATAGGCACCCATTGATAATGGTTCAAAAATCACCAGCTACCTTCTGGAGTGGGATGAGGTAAGTAGTAACTAGTTGAAATAAATACATAAATAAATGGCAGTCAGACTTTACAAGGATTTGCTGAGTAAAGAAAAATAATTAAATACAGGAGAAAGTAGAAGTAGGAAAATGAAATCCTGATGGCATTGGGTAAAGAGTTGGAAAGGTGAAAGGGGCAGTGGGGGGAAAACTTTTCATTCGGTGTATTTTACGCAGAGACAATGTTCTGCTTCTGTACGCTTGAAATCTAACTTTTCATCGCTCATTTGGTGTACTTTATTTGTTAATTAGCATTACTTATTATTTAATTATTTGTGGTATATCTTAAGAGTTCTGTTCATGATCTCTTTCTTCTGGATGCTGTCTGAGCACAGAATAAAACACTGTTCCTGCCCCAGAGGAGAAGAGCCATGATCTTGCAGCCTGTTCTACAGAGAATGTATTCAGGGTCAAAATAATGGTGTCCTTTACATAGTGGCAATTAGTCCCCTTCCAGACACAAAAGGAAATAAGTTCTGTGTCCCAAATACCTTACATTGTTAGTGAGCAGCATGCTGTTGGGGAGAGTGCCAAAAGCAAGAGATGGGGAGTATTTGCTGGAGGTGGGTTCTGGTTGTGAGTCCTCCCTCCGTCCCCTAATTCCTTTCTGCCTCCTTTCCATTGTGCAAGCCATATTTCTGCAGAAAGTGTGAGTCAGTGAATATCATCTTTGAAGGAAAAAATATGTACTGGGTGACAGAAAAGGCTTGGGCAACATGTAAAGAAAAAAACAAGTGATGAGTCAGGAAATGAAGACTGTGAAGGAGTGTTTAGTTCTACAGTCTGAGCAACATCTCTTCAGGTTTTTAGTAGTCTAAAAATAATATTCTAAAGGGAGTATTCTGTTATGAATAGTTTTCCATCATTTCACTAGTAACGTGTTTCCAGATCATTGGGCTACATGTTGGACATTTGGAACGACTCACTGTGCAAACATTTATTGTATGCAGTATCACAGCAAGCGGGGTCTACATGATGAGAAGCCCACTGAACTGAACTAAAATTAAACAATAATTTCAGAATGGCTTGCTGTCCCTCTCTGCATAATGGAAGGGGAAAGGTCACCAGTGAAGAAGAAAAAAGTCTGGGAAAGGTGATTAAAAAGACCTTTCTCCAAAAGGATGGGCCAGGATGGTCCCATTACACCTTCTGTGACGCTTGGACTGTGCAGTTATGATGTCTTGCAAGGCTTCCAGTAACTTGGAGCCGTGGGAACATAACAGCACCGAGCAGTGAAGCAGTGGAAACGTGAATGATTCCAGCCTGGGAAGCAACAGAAGGTCTTGTCAGAAGACAGACCAACAACAGACCGCTAATACAGTGCAAATACTGTTGTTAATTTTGTCCACATGAAGCCTAGTCATAATTTTGAATATATGTAAAGGATTTCTAAAATGCTTTTGTCCTTTAAAACCTTTAATACTGCATATATGCCTAGAGTTTTGTCTTCAGAAAGAATTGCTATGATGTCTGTTTTTCATAGAGCAAAAGTAGTTTGGTTTAGGCTAGCTCGTGTACAATGGGGAGGAAGGAAGGCATCCTGATTCCTTCAGTCTCTCTGTTTTAATTACCTTGTTTTCTCAGTAACAATCCTGAAATCTGAGATCCCAGTGGATAGCTAGCCAGCAAAGATGAAAGAATAATAGCCCTGCACAAATTAATTTGGTACATCTCCAATGGTTTGACAAGAAGACTGATTGAAATGTGGTAGTCTGGTTGTGGGACAGTTAATGCTACTGGTGAGGCTTCTCTGAAAATTTTTTTCCTCTAATATGAGATAGAAATGAAATTTTGAGTTACTGAATTAAAACTTGCTATTAAGGCTTATTAAAGAAAAAGTCTGAAGATGCAGGCTGGCTGTGCCTGCATCTGCAGGAGCCTCATCTCCCTGCGACAGCGAGCTCGGCAAGCTGTTCCACTCACTTTTTCATGTGCCATTGCAAGTTGTGCATCCAATGTAGGATGCAGTTAGCTACCAGAGTTATGGCACCCAAGTACAAAAGAGAATTCACTTGCAATGCCCTGTACCCTTGCACTTGGTTGTGTAAACTCCACGTAAGCAAAAGCACTAACTTTGTTACGATGCCACACTGTGTCCTGGTGAAATCAAGAAATAATACATCAGGGAAGAGGAGAACGCCTGCCAGGCAACAGTGAATGCTCTGCCAGATCTCAGCTAGAGCAACATTCATTAGCTACAGGGCACAGAATAAAATACAAACACGGGAAAATCAGCGATCAGAAGGAAATTAAATTGTGGCTGCAAAGCAGAGAGGGCTTTGCATGAGTGGAGAATAAGAAATCTATCTGATGATAAAGTTAGAAAAACACTCTAAAATGGCAGTCTGCCTTGAGAAGTTGAGTCCCTTCCTAGGGAAGGATAGCGTGTGAGCGAGCGGTGGAAAGCCCTCGCAACACAGAAGCCAGATGCAGATCCTGGAAACTTGTTGTGCAAAGGCTGCAGCCTCAGACTGTAGAAACAAAACTGGCATCAGGCAGGGGAGACGTGAGGAGTGGTGGAGGTGGGCAGGCGGGCACGTCCGGCTGTATCCCCGGCACACTGGCATGTTCCCCCAGCTTGAGCACTGCTACTCGCTCCCACCAAGGAAGGGGCTCCAGCAGCCCCTTCGTGCTCCTCCATGGTGGATAACAGGTTGTCTCTCTCTGGGGCAGTTCAGATCTTGGAGCATGTCAGATGCTCTACAGTATCTCAACTAGTTCCTCCTGTTTTTACAGGGCAGAGGCATCGTTTATAGCATCTAAAATGCAGCCAGAAGTGTAGGTGGCATCACTTGTGTATGGAAAAACTAAATCGTTGCTGTAAAATGACGGCAGAAGTGGTATGTTTTACAGCCCTAGGATTAGGTGAAGTTGTAAGTTGTAGCAAGAGGACAGCATCTCACTCCTTGTGGCTGCAGCTGGGGAGTCCCGCAGGGCTGAGGTGCTGCTGTGCCGGCTGGGTGCCGGGGGGTCTGCCTGGGGCCCTGGGTGCAGCACTCCTTGGTGAGCCCCATGCCACCGCACCTACCCACCGCAGGTTCCCCACTTCTCTGGAAGGTCACTCAAGGGACTGGAGAAAGGTGTTTGAGTCAGGTTGGTGGTTTGGGTTTTTTTAATTTTGCTCGTAGACACAGTACTGTTCTCATTCCTTGGTTTAGCTGTCTTTTCTCCTATATACCTTAAAAACCTCTTGCCTCATTAGATGAGCTTTAGATGAAACACATATGAGTTGCCTTTGTTTCTTCATTGGAATTAGGTGTGTTGTATTCTGACTGACTTTGATGAAGCGAAGGTTGTACTGCTTAATATGTCACTGTGCCAGTCCTACCCTGCTGCTGCCGCTTCAGTTTAGTTCTGAGTTTTGGGGTTTTTCCTGACCTGAAGACTCTGGAAAATAGACTAGTCAATAGACAAAGCTGTTCCTGCTATTCCACCTTTTTCCTTCCTGATTCGGATTAAATGGTTTGTAATGTGACTGGCGTTACATGTTAGAAAACACAAATACTTTCTTTCTCATCACTGACGTAGGTCTTTGAATTATAGTTGTAATGCCTTGCTAATAAACTCTTTTAGCTTAAAATGCCTGGAGAACTATGGGGGGCGATAGTCATTCTTTGACAGCAGAGTAAAAGATAGTTCAGCCAACTGTCACTCAGTTACGTTGGATGTATGCTAGCAAAGTTTCCATTGACTTCAAAGGAGTTAGGATCAGCCCCTCTTCTCAGGTATTTTGAAATTCAGTAGAATCTGAATATGCCTGCACCTCAGGTGCTGAGATTGGCAATAGTACTCTGGCACTAAAATCAGTTAAAATGAGTAATTAAGGAAAACTCCACCTTCTGGCTCTTTTTCTACGAACTTTACAAACCTCAACTAGTCAATTGATGACTTTGTGCCAGGATTGATTATTTAGGTTAAGCAAAAGGCTAATCGGAAAAAAATAGCGTTAAAAATATACCAAACAGAAAACATCACTGTAAAGGAGGTGATGCTTTTTCCTGATGCCAGCGTTCATCAAAATCAGTAAACTGTAACTGCATTGAAAAATGCCACTGGCACTGCTGTAAGAACCAGGCCTTTGTTGCTAATTAGATGTGAAATGCTCATTCTGTGGTTAAGTGGTAGTAAATAAATGTTTCTCTTGTGCATATGGATAGCGAGAGTTTCCTATTCATTCTCTATGGGAAAGTGGAGGACTGTTCCTGAGCCAGAAACAAGGACATCCCTCTCATGCAGTGTGTGTTGCTGTTTTGTACATAACTCAAAAGCAGCTTTAATTCTCATCCGATACACATCTCATTTTAATTTGCTTAAGAGAGTGACCAATACAATACCACACTACTTCACGATTTGGTGATGGATAGTTAACAATTAAGTTTATATATAGATAAATGGAGATAAGTATAAGAGCTTGTACAATAAATGCTTTGCAGAGATATTAGAGTGTGTTATAGTAATTGTTGACTGTTTGCTCCGCAACTTCATGTCAGATTGAATACCAGTCTGTTGCTTTTTATTGCCAATACCAACCAAACACAGACATTAATGCTGGCATGGCCTGCAGCAGATTGCCATCTTGCCTCCTGGTTGCAGATCTGACACTGGCAGCTTTTATTCAGATTTTTGCAGTGAGGTCTTGTGAAGAACCGTGCTCTCTTTCTGTATCCACTGTACCTGCAGTGGCCCATTCCTCCTTTCATGTTTATTTACTGTGTCTGCTGCAGGGAATGCGGTCAACAAAACCCATTTAAAATCTCAAAACTTCTGTCTCGATAAACACAGTCTCCAAGAGAAACTTAAGCACCCTGTTTTAAGTGAGTGTGTAGCTTCAAATATAGCTGAAATAGCAGGCAAAACTCTTAAAAATTGTATTGTGCAAATTCTAATGGATTTGTGGAGCTGAATTGTTCTTGTTTCCTCAGACAGGCCCTGATGATCATCACAGTGGGGGTTGTCCTTGTGAAGAATAGGGAACGCAGACCAGAGAAAGCAGGACTAGCGAAGAAGTCAGACAGTGCTCTCCCTCTGAAATTCGTGGATTAGAAATATTTGCGGAAATGATACAGTGTATTTTAAGCAACTTACGAAACATTATTTAAAGGATTAAAACTTGGATGCTGAGTGTACAAAGAATAGGAGAAGGATTCTGGGAAAGCTGTAAGACTCTTGGGTGGCAGCCAGTACCAGCCTGCCAGTTGTTCCTGTCCATAATTATGCCAGCATTAGTGCTTTCATAAATCTTGGGAGAGAAGGAGCGGAGAGACTATTTCCAGGCTATTAATGCCAGGATAATTAGAAATATCGGCCAGCCTCTCCAATTAGTGCCAACAGAATCCAAAATACCAGCCAGTCTGAGTAATTTGAATACCAGTTGGTCTCTGAGCGAGTTTGGGGAATGTACAATACCAGTTCTAGAAGAAAAATATATACAATATCAGAATTTGTACTGTTATAAAGTTGAAGATTACTTAAATGTTTGGCAATCTTTACAAAGTTTAACCCACCACTTTGACAAATTGGAGTTTCCTTGGCCCGTTGCTCTCAGTTCAGTCATTGTGCTACGGGTGAAATTTTCCATAACTCCTTTTTAGCCAGCCATTGCTGTTCAGCTATTTATCAACCACATACTTAGCATTTGGTCACTTTGTTCTCTTGGAGAAAAAGCATAGGAAAATTATTAAAAAAAAATATATATTCTTAAGCAGAAATCAAAAAGAAATTAAATGTTTTCAAATGCTTTACAAATAGTGAAATCATTAGAGTTAGAGAAAAATTAATTTAATGCATCTGAACATATAAAAGAGAGTTTGCATAGAAAAAAAAAATCTATTCTTAGTAGTCCTGCACTGATGAATGGATATTTTACTGAAATGTAGAATTACTAATTAGGGTTTATGTAGTCTGGATTTTAGGTACTTTATTGCTGAGCTGGGAAGTATCGTGACCTATTATTTTTTTTGTCCAAAAGGAGTTTTATCATATAACTCTATATCTAGGGATTTTAGATCTGAAAACGTTTTCTCATTTACAAAAGACTTTTGCTTTAGGATTCATGATTCTGTTCCAATTCCACCCCTTAATTTACTTTAGCCATACAGTAATGTTACAGCTGGAGCAGATGGGTGAAGAAGATTGTTTATAAAACCAAGTTCTAGAACAAGTGTAGGATCACACTCTATAAATAAAAGTAAGTTATGGCTGTTTGCCAGCGTACTAAATGTCCTTTCAATGCCTCCAAATTGTTGTGCCATGCTGGAGATCTGCTTTATTGTTTCTAACTTGATGAAAACATTTTGGAGATGTACTACAAACATTTTATGGAGTTCTTCCTTCTGTGTTGCAATCTGAGTGAAAAGAAGTGGAAATTGATAGGGGCTGGAGAATGGGCCAGTGAAAACTGTATGTCCCACTCGGGCAATTTTGAGATCGTTAATGATGAAGTGATGTATTAAGCACGGAGGAAGAAGAACGTGTGGGAGGACAGGCAGAGCCCAAGAAGGCAGCAGCAGGTGAGGCTATTGGCCACAGTGAGGGACAGCCATATAAATAATTTTCCTGTTAGTCTGCCTAGGCATAGAAACATCGAGTCTTCTGTCAAGGTGGTGTATATCAGGTGAAATAAGTAGCCATGTCTATGGACAGATAATTAAAAATTGTAGGGTCAGGTGCCAAAAAATAGTAAATACCATGGCAGAGCTATGAAGTCAGAAGAAGTTGCAGAGGTGGGCAAAACTTTATCTCCTGCACCAGTTTGAGCCCATGGGTGTGCTTTGCTAGGTTTCTATTCTGGTGTGCTTTTGGGTACTTTGTAAGGTAATTGTCCATTAATTTTGTAGTCAAGTATTGAAATTAAAACTCCTTTAAACTGCTTCAGCTGAGGTAGCTGTTATTTATGTGGGGTTGAGCAATCTGTACCCCTTCTCCTGAAAGATTTCGAATTGACCATTTCCCACGTGTGGCATAGGATGAGACCAGATATTCTTTGTTGTCTTGGGGTCTCTGTCCTGCAAAAAACTCGGCTTTGTTTTTACCTCAGGGCATACCAAGTTGGGTTGGATTGAAAAGGTTTTCGTTTTGTTTTAAATGGGGAGGGGAACTTCTGAATGTCCTTGTCCTCAGCCGTGCCTGTTTGTACCTGATGTACCCAAGGAAGTACTTGAGAGTTGGAAAAGTGTCTCGATACCTCCTCTTGCTGCTTGCCCCATCTTGGCTTTGTCAGGGCTCATCATCGCTCCAGGTCACGTTGATATGAAGCTCCCATAAACCATACCTCTAGCATCCAAATTTCTTAACAAAGTTGCATGCTTTCCGACAAATCCTCTTTGCTCATCACATGCCTTATGCTCTGGGCAGTGGGATGGGTACAGAACATGGCACGTTAAATATGAATAAATCCATTTTGTCCTCAAGGGCATGGGGCTGAGCAGAGAGGGTTGCACCCAGGCTTGTCCTGTCCTCCTCAGGCGGTAGTCGCTGGGGTTGGCCGTGGGCTGGACCGTGGGGAGCGAGAGCCCTCTTGTGGGATGGAGAATTTCGGAAGGACCAGGCAGGGCTTCCGTGGGATTTGAGGTGCAGAGGTTAGCGCTTGCAAGAAATGTTGGTTACAGCTTTTCTGTGCTCCTATGACCGGGTCGATTCAGAAGTGAATTTCACCCTTAATTTGCATGCTTTTTTGCTAAGGAGTAGGATAAATTGCATTTCAAGCAGAATGACAGAGGCTGTACATACATCTCATGAAGATAAGAATCTGGAAAGAGGAAGAATCTGACAGCAGACTGACTGTGTTGATCTGTATTATTTTAGGTAGCATAGCAATGCTGTCGGTGGCTTACACAGCTTTCTTTGCACAGTGCCTGTATGAAAGCATCTAATTCTACTATCATTTAACAGCTCTTTTTAAAAAAAGAACTGCGTGGTTTTGTTTCATAGCTCTCCGATTACAGATTTCTCTCTTCCTAGGGAAAGAGGAACAGTGGTTTCAGAGAATGTTACTTTGGAAGCCAGAAGCATTGCAAGTTGACTAAACTTTGTCCAGCTTTGGGTTACACTTTTCGATTAGCAGCTCAGAATGACATCGGTACTAGGTAAGTTACCCAATGTACACATTTTCTTGAGAAAAAGTGGTAGCTGAGAAGTTTAGCTATCAATCACAGTGCAAAGAGGAGTTTCGGGGGGGATTTTTGTTTGGTTGGTTTCTCTCTTTATGGTTTTGAGTTAAATATCTGACATTTGCTCTATTATTAATGCTTTGGAGTAAGTGGCACCTTCCCTGGTGATATCATTCACCTCTCAGGGAATTGCCCTGTACCTTCAGCATGATGAGGTTCGCCTGAGAAGATAGACTCCTTTTGAGGTGTTAAATGGTGTTTTCTGGTCTATTCCTAATGCAAAAAGAATAAATCTGTTATATAAAATTCCCACTAGGGACCTCTGTGTACCAAGAAAAACAAGCAAGAGGAAGCTGAGTTACAGATCTTGAAAGGAATCTTGATGTATTTATTTTGCTGGTTTAAAGCAAAGCCCTTCTGTCTTTTTTTCAGCAGTACAGTCCCTTCCTTCTTCCGCAGGACTGGCAGGGCTGGCTGATGGGGTGGGAAAGAAGGGTGAGAGAGCCAGGACCAAGAGAGGACAGGCACACCCAAGGGCTCTGTAAGATAGGTTTCAGGTTCTGCTGTTTTTTGCACATGAACAGATGCATTCAGATGAAGATGATGAGAAATCAGACTTTATTGCAATCCTCTGGGAGCTGCTAGGGAGCACTGGGCTAAAACGTTACAGAGCTGAGGTCCAGAGTGTGCCCGAAGAGACATTGTGCTGCAGGGGCTGTGCGCTCCTGCGCTCACGGAAGGAAAGTAGGCCAGGAAAAGTTTAGCTGTGAAGCAGCTAAACATCCAGTGCTCTTGTATACTCGTTTATTGTCCTTCTTAGCTAAACAGGATTTAATCATTATTACAAGGACAGAAAAAGAAACACTAGTGGTATATAACAATGTGTTTTGCTGAGGGAGATTCCTGTATTGTTCTCTCTTCCAAAACACAAACCTCTTAGTAATACATAGCTTTAAAAAGTTTCTTTATTCATGTTCCTGTGTTTTCTCTCTGAGATGCGCTGGGACTGTTCACGTGTGCATAGAGTCCCGTTTGCCAACTTCTTGCTAGATTACTTCCCTCCCTATTGAAATAGTACTTGGTGTGGATAGAGAGAGAGGGAGAGGCTTGAGCTGGAGCTGCTGAGGGTAACTGGAAAGGGATTGCCAGTTTTGTACGAAGTTCCCAGTTTTGGCATCTCTTTTCTTTGCCAGGTTCCAGATTTTTAAAATATCTTAGGGCATGCTTCAGCCCTTCCCTCCCTTTTTTTCTTTGTTCTCTCTCTCTTTTTTTCTCAGGCTATTGAGGAGGGAGTGAACTAAGAGCTATATTTATGGTCAGTTGCACTGTGTTAATCTAAGAGATAAGCACCAACAGCACATGGCTTATTTTTATAGAGGGCACTCAAAATTGTGACACGATAATGTCATCTAACACTTCATATCCTAAGATGATTTTGGTTAGTCGTAATGGACTTACCATTTAAGATGATTTTTTGTCTTGTTCGGGTGTTAGTTATAGGTGCAATTTTATTTTTTTTTAAACTATAAGAATCTTTCAACAAATATGTTATTTTTGCAAAAGAAGACTCAGAAAATGGAGATGTGGCTTTTTGTGTGTGCTAAATTCATGTGATGCCTTTAAGGAGCAAAATAAATTTGTACTTTGGAAACAGAGATTTGAAAATTGCAGGAACGTTACCTTCAGTTGAGAGTTCTGATGATGTCCTGAAAATTCACCAAAACCTGTTGATTTTAAACTTTGTTCTCAAATTCCCATTGTACGTAATATATCCTGCATGGAGTATTAAGACAACTCTTCCTATACTTGTGCAACACAATTGCCTATTATGTTTCAAGGCATTATGTGCTGGGATTTAGACAAGATGAGAGTGTGCATTGCCTCTGCTGTGGATGTCCTCTCTGGTTGCAACCTGAGCTGTGCAAAAGAACGACTTTATGCTCAGCTTAAAATGCAGAGAAGTTTGGGAAAGGAAGGTCGGAAAGGAGTAGAGCCAGCCTGGAGGGTTGGAAGGTATCTGTGCGTGCACCAAACAGCTCCTACATGCTGCTGAGCATGTACGGTCATGACTGGATAAATTTTCCCTGCTTTCTTTGGAGAGGGATGTCTGAAACAGTGGGACTAGATTTGCTGAAGCACTTGGCTTTTGGAAATGTAGCTTAAATAGAAGTTGTATTCTGAGTTTACAAAAGGTGGAAACTGCATCTCAAGTTCAGCATCTAAAAATTGAACACTTGGGACTTTATTTCATAGGTTTTAGTTCCCCTTTGTTAAACAAGATTATCCTCTAGTTCAGAGTTAATAGTAAGTTAATAATTTTAGGCAATCAAATATTCTTTTTTCCAATATTACTGTGATGATACCTGTAAAAATGGCTGTGAGGACACATATAATCTGCATTTTTTTCTATTGTTAATTCTGGCATTTCCTAACTGGGTGCTCATCTTTTCCACCTAGGCAATTTTAGCATTGTCTAGATTTTTTTTGAAAATGTGAAATATTTCTCTAACTGCACTGAGGTTTGGCTTTTTTAGTTTTGTTTTTTGGGTGGTTTGTTTTTAGTTTTTAATCTTCCTCTCTCTGTCTCTGTGCAGTGGGTACAGCCAGGAGGTGGTATGCTACACTGCAGGTAATATTCCTCAGACCCCTTCTGCACCAAGGCTTGTTCGAGCTGGTGTTACGTGGATCGCATTGCAGTGGAATAAAGTAGAAGGCTGTACACCAGAGGAAGTGGTTTCTTACACCCTGGAAATTCAGGAAGAAGATAATGTAAGTACCATGTTACTAGAAAGTATACTGCATGACTTAAATTGAGTTTTCATTTATTAATTCAAGATCATTGAAAAGATTGTGGATTGCTCCTTTGGAGGGGCTTTTAGAGGTACAGAGTACTTGGCAGGATGGAGCTGTTCTGCTCCACAGCAGAATTATGAATCCGTAGCTAAAAATCTGTGCTGTGATCCATGATTACTTTACAAAGCTTCACAGGAGTCTGTAAGGTATAGGGCAGCTTGTCCTTAGCGAGTTCCGTCTGCTGCGTCCTTCTCACTGCTGTGTGGTGTGCTTGCATTCTCTCATCTCTCACTCCTATTTCTGTAACATATGTTAAACTGTCGTGATTGGTTTTGTGCTTATTTTACAGCAAAATTATAATATTCAGGTCAGTTGCAACATCCTTCTAGAAGGAAAATTATTGTGGTCTTGCAACTTAAAAGTAATGGTAATAATAAAAAAAGAGCACTCGACTGTAAACCCCCTTTGCTATAATGTGTTCTAGCTACAGACTGTAATACAGAGAGCACTTCCTCAGACTTCTCAGTTGTGGGAATTTGGTTTTGTTTTTTCTAGGATAGCGTGTTTCACCCAAAGTACACTGGAGAGGAGCAAGCCTGTACTGTGAAGAATCTCAGAAGAAGCACACAGTATAAATTCAGGGTAAAATGTTTTTCATCTTGTCATTGCATGGTATTTTCTGTACTGGGTTTTTTCCAGGCACTGTAGGGACCCTTTAGTACTACCTCCAAAATTGAGTCATCAAATACAAATTTGCTTTATACTGTGACCTAATAGATTAAACTGTTAGTTGTATTTTAACTTTTATCACAGGAGATGCTCATTGCTCAGCCTTTTTGAAGCAAGCATAGTTCTCTGTACCATGTAGTGTCAGGTACGATGCTGTAGAAGTGTGGCTCAGGGCGTGAGGTGGTTGTAGTCGGCTGTATTGCTCCCCAAAAACCTGATCCATGGTCACGAATCTGTAAGGAGCCCAGCAAGCAAAGCCTCCTTCCCCTGCTCAGGGGCCTCTCTTCCCCTGACATGCAGAAATCGAAGCTTTTCTGTCTCATATGTACGTGTGACTGGTTTTGGAGCTGGTTTTTTAGCGAGTGTTGGTATCTCCTGCTCTGTGGGTGCTCCTAAATACACACCTGCCAAGAGAGATGCTCTGAAGTCTTTTTGCAAACACACAATTCAGTCGTCTGCCTCGCTGCTGCTGAAGCTGTCCAGCACAACACAAGTGCCGGGTGCGGCTATCGAGGAGAAGACGGTGTGGTTTTTACCGGAGGGCCTGAGGTGCGGGCTGTCCGCCGCAGCGGCTCAGCAAAGGCGGGAGCCGAGCGGGGCTCCACAAGATGGCGTTCGGCCGCGCCGCCCGGGGCGCTGCCGTCCCTCCGGAGATGGCGAGCAGCTGTCTGGAAAGCCACCGTCCGCCGTACTCCCGCGTTGCCAGAGAGAAAAGGTGTCTGGAAGCAGCTTCGTGTCACTTGTGAACAGCGCAGGGAGAGAAGGGTGCCATAGGTTTGTGCTGATTCAAAAAAATTTGGCTTGTGTAGGGCTTGGTATATTCAGGAGGAACAACAAAAAAAAACTTTACCCAAAGACTTATTTAAATCCTTATAAAAAACTTTGTATATATTCCTTTGTGAGACTGAAGACCTTGTGATGTTGCATGAACTACCTAAAGAACTGGAAAGTTACTGTGATGTCGCTCAGAGATGATGCCTTTTAGTTTAGCATTGTAAAAACTGCTGTGACTGTCTGAGGGAAAAGGATGGTTAGTGCCTATCTGCAGCCCTGCTTTCAAATTAAATGTCAATTTTAAAAAACTGGGTTGATTTCAGAGCAAACTTGCAGCCTCACTGGCTATGAGCACGACTTGGATCCAACCTGGCACTGAGATATTCCCTTGTTGCATGCGGACCAGCGTTAGGTATGGAACTTGGGGAAGGATCTCCAAAACTATAAAACAAAACAAACAAACAAAACCAAACACAGACACCATAGGATCACAGCAGTGTTTTAAAACTCATGATGGGGCCTGTCTGGCAAGTTCTAGGCTTATCTTTGAACCTGGGCAAAATATGGTTCTTTGGGGAACCTCCTTAATAATGAAGAATTAAGGAGGAAATTTAATTCATGCCAGACAATGTGTGCTTACAGAGGAGACATCCTGCTAACATTTTTGATGAAATAAAGGTTGGTTAATTAAAGTGACAATGGTAGTGTAATACACTGTCGTAAAGGCATTTGTTCAGTACCGAGTGAGGGTTTGGCACAGAAGGGCAAATGATACCAAACACAAGGTGTAGAAGCCTCGTTCTCTGAAGTGTTTGACGTGTTGGCATAGAAGGGAATCACCAATGGCTGTTTCTAGTGAGATTCCACAAAAAGCAGTGCTCTGTATACGATTTCATAATTTCATCAGTGACCTGGAAACAAAGTTTTACTTTTATTTCTACAGAGAGGATGGGGGTCTATAAGTTGCAGAAGCTGTGGCTCTGAAAAAGTGTTGAAGATCCTGCTTGAGCAATCAATTTAATATGAATTTTCAGTTCCTGCTGGACTAGTGCAATCTTGAGCTGTGTACATAGGGGAAATGTATAAATGTTGCGTTACCTTTGTAGCTTACACTCACTAGAGGTGTTCCTGGGATATTTGTCTAGCTCATGTATCTAGTGTTCATGGCAAGATGTCTTAAATTGGAGAATAGTGAGAGAACCAAGAGATGATACATGGGAGTTGATAGTGGCTCTAGTGGCTTGTTTAAAGCAAGCATATGGGCTAGAGAACCTCAGTTACTTTTTCTGCCTTAAAAATTGCAAATTGTTTTCCTCAGATGCCTGTATTAGGAGATGATCGAAATGACTGGTCCTGAGAATAAGCAAGTTTCCCAAGTGGAAAAGTTCTTACTAACTTATATTTACAATTATAATATGTATTTTATTACTGACTTCCTTGGCAGCAGATCTCTGTCGTAGAGACTAGCATGAGCTAATGCAGCTCTAAGCAGCCACAAACCATTGGACCAGTTGGGATTTCATGTATGATCCTGATCTGCTCACACTTCTTGCTAGATCCTCATGTCTTCTCTTAGCTTAGCAACCTTCTCCCTGAAGTCAGCAGAAGGTGTTCTTGAGTAGAGACAGAGGATTTGGCTGAGTTTTCTTTGTGCACATCCTGCTCATTTCAGTGGCTGCAGATTACGTGTTTCTTATTTGTGTGTCATGCTACTTAAGCTTTTAATTGTGTGATTACTGATACTCTGAATTAATTTGTTTTAAATAGCGGCTTGAAATACCTCCAAAGCAAAAATAGCATAGTTATTGTCATAGTTTTCATCTTTTATGAGTAAATTACTGCAAGTTGCCATGTGACTTTTTTTTAAGAGGGAAAAACAGCAGCACTCTTATCTTAAACATGTCATGATCTATTGCTAGTGGGGGGCGAAAAAGTCAATATGGTTTGTAAAGAAACAACGTGACAATCTAGTATCTGTTATTAGAATCCCACACGTTTTGTTAGGATGTGACATACTTTCCAGTTTAATGATATTTGTGCAATTACTAAGAAGTCTCATGCAGAACTGTCAGAAAAGCAGTAACAGTCAACAATGGTAAACTTGTTGTGGTTTTGTTTCAGCTGTTTGCTTCTAATGTGGAAGGAAAGAGTTCTCCCAGCGAAGTGTTGGTCTGTACAACAAGCCCAGACAGGCCAGGACCTCCGACCAGACCCGTTATTAAGGGACCAATAACATGTCATGGCTTTAGTGTGAAGTGGGGTAAGCCACTTCAGTTTGTCATAGTAGAGCTTTTTTGGATCATATTAAATTCAAATAAAGTTATGTAAATATGCATTAGAACTTTTTTCATGCTACTTCTCAGTCTAAAATTGAATGTGTTTGGAGAGCTTTACAGCTTTATTTTTTTAATATTTTAAAAGATGTGTAGAGACTCTTAAGTTTTCAGAATCAAAAATGTTGCTTGTTTTTATTGACTGATTTGCATTTGCACTCAAGTGCATCTTCAGGCTTTTCACCTTCCATTTCATGTCCTGTTGCAGCATCGTTCCAGCTGCTTCAGTTATCGATGGGGCTAGCCTCCATGCTGCATCTCTTTCAATGCTTTTTCTGTACATTTTCTTTCTAGTATCATTATGCAGCCGCCTTATTCTGACGCATGCTGAAAACATCTGCTACCCTCTTCAGCTATAGACTCCTTGGTGTAGTTAGTGTATGGGAGCTTGTGGAGGAGAAGGAGCAGAATCAGAAACAGATTCTGTAATCTTTTTGTTGTATTTCACTCCTAATCTTGATTTACTAACAACGTGCCTTATTTTTTCAGATCCTCCACAGGATAATGGTGGTTCAGAAATTCTGAAGTATCTACTAGAGATTTCTCAAGGAAGTCCAGAAGGTAAACTTGAAATAAACCATCGCTGTTTCAATCCATTATGGCTACTATAAAGAAGCACTGACCCTTTGGGCTAGTATTGTTATTATCATTTATGCACTAATGCTGTACATATGATTGAAACTGAGTTACATACTTGCAGCCCTAAAAATTACAGGATTCCTGGGAGAGTTTGTGTTGGGTTTTGGGGAGTTTTTGTTGTGTTTTTATAAGTATGCTCTTTTTCTCTAATACGGGTGGAATTTTAGGGTGTATGGGTGAACCTACTGTTTGATTTCATGTTTTTCATATATTTTAGAAATATTTATATTTGTAAGTATATGTGTTTGTATATATGTCTATGTGTATCTTTAAATGAGAATGATATTCATAGTAAAATTAACACTAATGACTTTCCTGAAATACATAATTTGTGGAAGACCACATTAAGGATTTTCTTTCCTTCTAGACACTCCTAAACTTGATTCATTATACTTCTCTAAACCTGGATATATCTCATTTTTTAGCAAATCAGTGGGAAGTGGCATATAGTGGATCGGCTACAGAATATACCTGTACTCACTTGAAACCAGGCACTTTGTATAAACTTCGGGCGTGCTGTATCAGCACTGGCGGACACAGTCAGGTGAGTGTTACTTAACAGTAAGGACCATTGGTTTTATATTTTTCAGAGATTTATCTGCCATTTTTGGTGAAAGATTTCTGCTTTAAAAATAAGGTGAATATTTTTCCTGTAGCACAGTAAAACTATACTGATTGCAGTTAATCTTATGTTGCAAGTTGCTGAATTTTAGAAGACTGAAGACTTCTGTGTATACTCGATGGGGTTTTTTTTCAGGCAAATTGCAATTTAGTGAGATTTGGTTTCCTCAAAACCAATCTGTAAGTGTTTAGACTTCTGCTAGAAAAGACCATCATGTTTATCTGATCTGGTCGCTTGCATGAGAAAGGCCACAGACTCTTATATACATGAACCTGTACTGACCGAAGCTGGTGACTGGAGATGCAGTATGGGTTGTTTGTTGTAACCATTAATTACCTTTCATATAGCTCAGTTCTTCTTTAAATTTTTGGGTTCCATTTTCCAGCCACTGATTCCTGTCATTCCCTTCTTTGATTTAAAATCATTTCAGTACCTACAGTTTTATTCCTTCTGCTTTGATTTTTTTTTTTTAATGATTGAGTACTTTAGGCCTTGATGTTATTTTAAAAAGGAAAATTAAAATAAAGAACCCCACAACATTAGCCATCAAAGTTTCCTGTGCCACAGTTTTGAGTATGCTAATGAAAGAACTCTATTAATTGCATTTATAAGTAACATACTCGATAGTATCTCCTATGCTTTATTGTTCATATAAATTTCTGTTAAGTGGTTGTTGTAAAAATCAATTTTTTGTGCTACTTTCTAATCATGCTTCACTCTGTAGGCAGTAGTTGTACCGGAGAGCTAACTTCAGCTCCTGTTCTCTTCCAGTGTTCTGAAAGTTTACCTGTCCGTACACTAAGTGTTGCACCAGGTCAGTGCCGGCCACCAAGAGTTTTGGGGAAACCGAAGCACAAAGAAATACAGCTACAATGGGGTAAGCCGTTGGAGCATCTCGCTGCTGAATAGCTTTGATCTTGATGGTTAGTTGCTGAACTTGGCTTAGCTTTTATTTCTGTTGCTAGACCTTGTGAAAAATTGCAGTGTATTCTGTTCACTGGGAAGTACGAAGCAAAGTCCAGTGAAGTCTGTGCAAGTCAGAAGTGCAACTTCGCATCAACTGCTCTGGCTCTGTATTGGGTTTCTGAACTTAGCTGTCCTTTAGGCCTCATACTGTACTGCCATTTTTATTTTAGTTAGGTCCTGTCTTTGTCAGGACTATAAAATATCAGCTATTTTACAATATCTGTCCTTTTATTGCAAAACCACCATGTGATTCAAGATCTTCTTTATTCCTTTGCAATATTGACTTAGCCGAAGAATTTTGCTACTTCTAATGTAAAACTTCTGTCAGATATTTGAGTGAGAACATTTTGAGGCTTTTGGGTGGTATTTAAACTTTGATCCACAGTATAACACACACAATCCGCTGGACGTCTGTAATTTCACAAGGGACTTGGACCATGGACATGACACTAAACTGTCAAAAAATGCACATTTTTCAGAATGCAAGATACATGCCAGTATCCAACAGATTTTTTTCTTTATTACAATAATCTTAAAGCATCCAAGATTTTTTGTGGCAACATTCATTAAGCTCAATTGTGGAGCAGTACCATTTCTAACTGACAAATATATCTCAACACCAGTATGAAAATTCACCTGTGCATCCAAGATACCATGTTGTGTCCTGGAAGACTGATCCCCTTATGGTGCAGCACTGCTTTTCAGAACCTCAGGCAGGTTGATTCTGTGGTACTGGCTTGTAACATGACATACAAATATTATCAAATATGTTGTTTTCATGGAGAAAAAAGTGCCCACAATAAAACAGATACAGGTACAGAAAACAAATTGAGTTTCCCAAAAAGCTGTTATTCCAAGTGAAGCGCAGGGTTTAGATCGTCGTACAGAGATTTAGAATCTCATAAATGTTAGCGGTGTGACTAATAAAGTTCAAGGATGGCAGTTGTTCGTACTTCTCTTGGGTGTTAATGAGGCTTTGCCAGAAACCCCATGTATTAGTAGTGGTTTTGGAGTGTACATGACCCACCTCAGCCTCTGCTCACCCATAGCCAGTGGCCAAGATTGGGTCAGACAGCCACCATGTGCCTCCTCATTTCTGCCTATCCCAGAATGGGTGTATTCAGCACTAGTCCCGTTCTTCGTGCAGCTTTCTGTACCTTTTCTCCTGCCTGACCAATTTTTTTGCACACACCAGCTTTGATATTGGAGGAAAGAAGTAGAGTAGCTTTTTTTTTTTTTTTTCCCTTAGCTACTGGTAGCTACTGTGTTCTGCTTAAAACTTAGCTGGGCACCTCCTGGCATCAAATGCGCCTTCCCAGGGTGACAGATAATTGCCTTGGGGGAGCTGCTGCTCTTGCATGTGACAGTCTGACCTGGTGAATGTTTAGGGCTAAGAGTAATTGTATTCATTTGCTTTAAATCAGTCGGGTACATGGATGAGATATTGCAGGTAAGGCATCTGCTGAAGAGGAAAATCATTGTTGGTAGTGTGGGTGTGTTTGTGTGTGTATAGCTAGATAGTGTGTGTTTGTGTATATGTATATCTATGCACACACACACATGTATTTCTGTGGTATGTGAAGTAAAAAATTAATATATATATGCACACATATGTCTGTACACATATACACACACATATATGTGGTATGTGAAGTAAAAAATTAATCTTGCTGGCATATGTCCTTATGTTATTAATGAATTGTGTGATTTCTTTCTAGATGTCCCTCTGTCAGAAAGTGACTGTCCCATCTCAGAGTACAGTGTAGAAATGACAGAACCTGAAGAAGTTGTTTCTGAAGTGTATCATGGGCCTGACGTGGAGTGCACTGTCAGCAACCTTCTTCCTGGAGCAACATACCGGTTCAGAGTGAGAGCTTTGAACGATGGTGGGGTACGTGCAGCGTGCTGGAGCATGCTTTGGCTTTTTCTCGCTGGAGGTGGTACTGTGGCTGAGATGGGCAGGTCTGGAAAGTGATTGTGTTAGTGGTGGTGATCAGAAAGGTGAAGGGGAGATGGGCAAAAGAAATTAAAGTGAGAAATACTTAAAGGAACTTTTGAGGAAGAGCTGCAGTTTTAAATCTGGTACTCTTTTTTAAAAGGAGATTTCAAGTACTAATGTGATTTGACTGGCCCAAATCAGCTGCATGAAAATATGCAAAATCCCTGCTAAAAGTCATGTGTGCTTACAAGGAGGACACTGTTTATTCCCCTTCCAGTGCATTCCTTATTTTTGTTTAAAATTTTACTGAAATTTCTGAAATTTCACTTAGGTATTCATATATTTTGAGGAAAGCTTGCATTCTTAATGTTTTTTTTGTTTTGATTTGAAAAAAATAACATGCTTTATGGATTTCGTGATTTTTTTTTTGTTACATGATTTCCTTGGAAGATGTGCCTTCTCAAATATGTTGGAAATTCTATCTGTTGTCCACAGACATCTGTTCAAAGATCTTGTTGATTTAGTGAGGTTTGGGTTGGTTCTGCTTGCTTTTGTGAGAGCATCTTTCCAAGGATTTTTTGTAAAGGCAGTCTCAGCCAGAGTACATGCGTATTGATGTGTTTGTTCCCAGGGAATCTTGATGACAACATGACGCAAAGGTTTAAAGTTATTCACTTACAGGGAGAAGTTCTGTTAAAACTTAACGTAGGTATTAGAAAAATATGTAAGACTGTAAATACCCACTCTTGTTTTTGTGAAAAATGAATTAAATATGTATGGAGAGATTGGATTTGCTTGCTGGAATGAAAGCCATTGCCTACCTGGTAGCTTTGGGTATGTGATGCCTTGCCTTTTTTTTCCTTTTATTTTTTTCTCTTTTCCTGTTTTTCTTTTTTTTTTGCAAAACAACTTTTCAAGTTGTGAAGCATTTCTAGTCCTACCCTTTGTTAAATGAGGGGGCTGGTTTTGGTTTGGTCGGGTTTTTTTACCAGATGCAAAATGGAGGAGGGCATTCTTTACCAGGTGCAAACACCTGTCTTCCATTCAGTAAAGAAAATAGCAGAAGTCAATAAATGAGGTTTTTTGGAGTGTGCGTTCTTTGTAATTCAAACAAAGCCATCACTGTTAGCCTTTCTTGATAGCGCACATACTGACACGTGTCTGTTGAGAGTTTTTCTGGGGTTCATAATTTCAGTGTTGTTCAGCCTTTGTAGTGGCTCTTTTTTTCATACTTGCTAGCGTTGCATTCCAAAATGAGTAAATATCAGTGTTTTTCCTCTAATTGTTTCCAGCGAAGCTCCTTTCTTCTGGAGAATGATTTCTAATTAGCTTGGAGATGTACTGAACAAACTTCATTATCCCACAGAGGAGGCCTCAGAAAGGCTATTTCCACTGTTATCTCTCTCCTGTCATCACAGAATCATAGAATGGTTTGGTTGGAAGGGACCTTAAACGCCATCTAGTTCCAACCCCCCTGCCATGGGCAAGGACACCTGTCCTCGCACTGCTGGCTGAAGCCAGTTTTCCAGAGTCTTGAAAATTGTCTTGTCTTTTCCTAATATGCATTTAAATTATTCTCCTATCAAGGGCTCAAAAGTTGTCTGAGCAGTTGTCTTGGCTGCCTGGGGAGCTAAGGCATTACACAGCATGTGTGCAGCATGCCCCGGCACGTTGAACCCAGACTGGGGCTCCATCACATGCTGTCCTTTTATAATTAACATGTGACAGACATTTCATATAAAAGAAGCTGGGTTTGGATTCCAGTATGTGCTTTACTATTGCTGTGCTCCTCCTTATATCTGCGAGAATCCAGTTATGCCTGGCTACGGCACAGACATGCAAACACATTACTTGAAGGTAAGGTAGAGGGACACAAACTGTTCCTCAGTTACTCTGTTGCTGAGTGCACATTCTCACTCTGGGGTAAATTGGAGGTGGCTTACGCTTTCACGGGCACTCACCGCTGCACAGGAGGAGGTACGTGCTGTCTGCTCGTACCTGACCTTACCTCATATTTTAACTTTGCAATAATTTACATGGTCTCATACAGAACTCTGGTATTTGGTGCCGAGTTTTGGAAAGCCTGGTCTATCTCTGAGAAAGTTTATTGCATTGAAAAAGTTTGTGTGCTGTTCTTGGAAAGTCTTTAAGGAATGTGAGGTGGGTGTACACTTAATTAATATACAGACCCCTTGTTTCCCTCTAGTATGGGCCATATTCGGAAGCTACAGAAGTCACCACAGCAGCAGGACCACCCGGCCAGTGCAGAGCACCTTCCCTGTCCTTTCTGTCTGACACACGTGTACTTGTAAGCTGGGAGGTAAGTCAGGTACCCTGATTGTTTAATTTCCATCTTTTCTAAACTAATACGGTCACCGCAAAACTTGAAAGCTAGCTTGGGAACTATTCCCTGGTTTGGAACTTTAGGAACTTTTTTTTTTTGGCAAGAAAACCATATGTGGAAACTCTTCTATTGTAGAAAATCATCTTCTCTACTTTTCTCTTTAAAGAATTGCATAAAGTCAATCATGAGTCATCCAGACCAGGATTCAGACACAAGACCTCCTACGCTGGCGTCAGATGATAGAGCACTGGTCGGGTAGAAGTGCTCTCTGCAGGCTTTTAGTATGTCAGTGTGTCCTGGGGTGGAATTGTGAAGGCAAATATTTGATTTTGGCTGAAGCTGGAGTCTCTGATATGAAATTAACTCTGCACAAATGCTTATGATGTAGTTAGGTTTTGTTTCTTCAAAAATTGTTTGTCTCTTCCCCAAATATTTACTTTTATTTTAGTTTGTGTGCATTCCTTCTCCATTCTCCAGGTTCTTGGACATTGAACTCTTAAAATAAGTCTTGGCTGAAATGCTGAGGGGTTGATCGGTGTCATTAAAAAAAAAAAAGTTATGTAATTAAGGCAGAAAGGAAAGGATGTTGTCATAAGTAACCTTGTGATATGGAGCACTGGGGCTGTAGTTCTGCCACAGACTTGGACTGAAAACTGTTCCAGCCCTACATCTGTTGGGTCCTTCCACAAAAGGATGCCCCTGTTGAGGGAGAAGTTACTAATGTTCCCGAGATGCTCAAATAAATTGATTGTGCTAACAACATATCTAGATACAAACATAATCTGAATTTAATTTTATAATGAAACAGGTGCGTTTGGTGCAGTTTAGGGGTATTTGTTAATTCTTGCAGTATTTTGTGATGCTAAGCTAGAAGTCACACTAAACTTCTAAATGTTTTAATGCGTGTATGGACAGGCATTTGCTCTCTCCAACCATGAGCGAATGCAACAGCGTTTCTGGTAGTCTCTGTATTCATATGCAGGATATATTTGTTTATTCTAGCTAAAAATGAAGCTGTGGAAGGAGTAATGTGGTTTGCAGTGGTTACATTTTCTGAGTCTATCATTTTTTGGCTGATATGAATATGAAAGAAAAACAGCGGAGGACCATGGATTTTTTTTGTCTGGCTAGAGAGCACACCGTGGTTCCTAATATGTCTTTTTTACACATTGTTTTAAAATGCTGGCTTAGCAGTTCAGAATACTCCTACTATAATAGCTGGAGACTCAGCAACAGAGCTAGAGAAGCCCACGTGCATGTGCAGGATGGCCATTGTGGCATGCAGCAATACTCTGCATCCTTTTACTGGAAAGTATACCTTGCATGCCCTAATCACAAAGTCTTTGTCATATCCTAGACCACACCTCTGCACGTAAAGCAGTGATTCCCTGAACTGCTTCAGTCCACACAGTACAGCTCTAGATAGTTCTGGTAAAAACACAAAATACTTTGTTTTGAGAAGCATGACACTATGGCTGCACTAGCCCATCTCCAGCAAATTCAGGTATTTATTCTATATTCCCCTAGACTTCAGGATGATAAAGGGATTGCTGAGGACATACAGATCCCGTAAGAGTCTTTTTGTGGGCATTAATGTACCCGGGTCTACACTCATGTGTCCCATACTGGGACCATTAGCTTGATGGGTGCCTTTCACCAAAAACCTCAGATGAGCTCCTCGCTTGTTGAGGTTGTTCTTTTCTCAATAACATGGGTAACTACTTCAGGCTTGAAGGCTAGCTCTTCCAGAGCTGTGTTTTGATCACTCGACTAGGGTGCACTAGATTGATGCTTTTTTGTGTTCTCCACCGTTGTGCTTCTGCCAAGCCAGTAGAGACAGAATTTATTCCTGAGTGTCCTGATGAAAAGCAAAGTAGCTGCATACACTTTCTCATTTCTCTGAATGTCTATCAGCTCATTTTTGTGCAGAATTGGCCTGTTTCAGTAACCTGTTAGGGAGCGCTAATGCAGTGCCTTTACATTTGCAGCAGTAACGGTGTATTAATTTAAAAATAAGGGTTGGTGGGGTTCCCCCCCCCCGTAGTACTTTATTCCTTACCCTGTGAAACACAGGAGTCTGAAGTGCTCATTTCTGAATTGAACCATGTAAATATTTGTGTTGCAGAGTCCTGAATGTTCTGGTGCTGACATCTCTGAATACAGATTAGAGTGGGGAGAAGATGAGGAATCTCTACAACTTGCATATAATGGCACAGACACCTGTTTTGAAATAAGTGAATTGTCAGCAGCAGCACATTACTACTGTAGGCTACAGGTATGGAAATTACGAGGTTTAGCATGCATTGCAATCTAAGATGGAAACAGGGTTTCCTTCCACAGTGTTTTTATTTTTATCATTAGCCGCTATGAAGTTATGTGCCCTGTAGGTCAGAAGGAATGTATGTTTATTTTAAATAATGCAGACTGTTGCTATATAACTGAACAGTTTAGATTTTGCACAATTCAAAGTGTTAAACAAGGGAATTGGTATAACTTTTAGCTCTTGAAAATTGCTCTTGTGCATTATGTGGTTTATTTTTGGTGAATAATGCTTTTAACAGCTGCCTTGCCCTCTGATATTAAAACAAAATTATAATGTTTTAGGCAATTTCAAAAAAAATTATTTTTTTCTTGGTAATGAGGTGTAAAGAACATCTGCCTCCCAACTGGACATTGAAGATTCCCCTAATTTAAATAAAAAACTCCAAATCTGTTTCATTTATCAAGTAAAGCAAACCAGCTGAGTAGATTCCTGTGTATGTAGGAGATGGTAGCTGCCAGAAAGTCGGTCCTCATCTTTATTATTTTGTCTCACATTTGTAAGATTGGATCTCGTATAGGGTCTCTATATGATTTCTTTTTCTTTGATCTCTCTCTCTCATATTATTTTCAGCAAAAAGTAACAGTTAAAGTCTATTTCTTACATATATACATATATGAACATAAAAATACAGCACTTTTTCTCCTTTATATCTACTGAAAAATAAATAGAAATTGAAGTAAGTGGGAATGAAGAATGGGAGTGAAGTAAAAATATTTTTGCCCAAGATACTCTTCCATAGGATTTATTTGTATGTGAAGACAGAATACCACCAGTAATCCAACCAAAAGTTCATGTACCCACCCAGCTGGCAATGTGTGGACCACCCAGGGTTGTTTCTTTGATCAGGAACAACATGCTTCTATTGAGTGTTTCTTTTTTTTTTT